CATTTCTTGCATACGAGTGAATATAATAACATGATTGTTACTAATTATGAACGTCATTGTGAATGAATATGTAAGTTTTGATATAGAAGAACGAATAAAATATATGTGTATTCGGAATTCGGAAAGAGGAGCGGGAGTCCGAAGAAAAAAATAAAAACATAAGGCCCGCTTCTTTGTGATCCCATAACGAAATTTCTCACGAAATTCGAAAAAATTATATACTCGTGCTCGTAGAGATATTCACTCCTTTATGTCTTAACAAACTCTCTCCTACATGGATCGCTTGCTCAACTTCTCGGATTAAACTTCCACCCCATTCTGGTACCTTCCCCTTTATTACATCCGTTCCATTTCTAGGAGGTGACGACGAGGATGACGAATATGACGATGGCGAAGACGAAGACGAAGATGAGGAAGCAACAGCATGATTATGAATCATTATATTACTATCTGTTGAGGTTGGTGATGAGGTTCCTGAGGTTGATGACGAGCTAGTCCATCTTGGATATGTGGTCGTTATTACTTCAAATATTTCAAGTTTTAAATCACCCTCCAACGCTATTTGGAAATCGGTATCGATCCCATATAGCGAATATACATATTGATCGATCGCATATTGAAGACATGCGGAAGCATGGAGGAGAGACTCAAAGAATGGTTTCATAATGCGCGTTTTGTTTGTGTTGTACCTGTTACCGCTGTTGCTATTATTACTTCCTCTTGCTGGTAATTGATGCTGATAATGTCGCGAATGTTGAACTCCGTTCAACATATCAATATCGACAGTTGTTATAGTACTATGATGATGGTGAGATTGACGGCCCAATGATGTAGAAGAAACGGAATGATCATCTAATTCCATTGGCCTTGGTACTACTTCGGGATAGAGAGAATATTCCACGCCATCGCCTCGTCCCCTACATTTTTTTACCATCACCCAGTTGCCTTCTTGTTCTTCACGTAACACAACACTTGTTTCATCCCCTTCACCATCTTTTTCCTTCTCTTGCCACTCTCGGCCCGTTAATTGCCATGAACCACGCCTTAATTTTTCTACTACGGCGCTTGAGACTTTATCTTCATCATCACATAATCGAATTCCCTCAAATAACATTTTACGCACATAAATCATTTTAACTACGCATCTAGAGAACCACTCTGCTCCGTCCGAATCATCAGGCGGGGCATAAGGTATTTTCGCCATACTCTCACGAAATAGTCTCATGCGCCCTTGTTGGTCGTATTTACAGTGGTGCGATAAAAAGTGTTGAATCGTAGTTGAATTAAGTAAACCAAGGAAAAAGTAAGATGGTAATTGCGTGGTGGTCTTAAGGGTGAAGTAGATGCACTGGTTGATAAACCGAAAAGTGTGTGTGGTGGTAATGGTGAAAGTTAAGGTGCCACAATGAGTTTAGTTAGAGAAAGTTGAAATTTATAAGAAAAGAGATTTCCTTTATTTCCTTACTTGATTGGTCACACATACGTAGTTTTCATCTATGAAAAACCGTTGACGTGGCTAATTATATGATAAATGTAATGCCATCGTTAATATGAAATAGTTTTTCTAAATCTTTCACTCATTAAGCTTTTTGATTGATTGACTGACGAATTTATAAAATGATTTCATATGTTTTTTTCTTTTTTTCAAAATAAAATTAACACGAATAATAAACAATGAGAAAAAGAATCATCCTTTAAAAAAATAAAAATGCACCTGATTCTTGGAGAAGTAACCATAATTGATCGGGTGGATGATTTTGGTTTTCACATCTACACTATAGAGCAAAAGAGAGAGATAAAATTATATGTAACTGTTGGATTATGCAGTATGCATTTCAAGTAAAGAAGAAAAACAGGATTTTTTTATGGAAATTATTTTTCTCGCCATGCGAAATTTCTTTGTAAATCTTCGCCAGATATATCCTTACGCGTCTGTGCTACATTTCTTTTTTGACACCAGCAAAAAAAAGCAACTTACCCGCACTTGCTTGTTCCACAATATACGATTTCTCTTGAATTCATTCCAGCTTGCAAATGTGCTCTCGCTGCTTTTAGATAGATCCAAAACGGCGTGTCCTCGCCTTCTTTTCTTACTTTTTCGACAGCATCACGATCCACCATTATTAAGGAATAGATAGACTTTTCATAATCCTGTTTATCCTTTATGCTAGCCGCAGCGGCGCTATTTCCCAATAACGGAACGTATGCTTCGGCTGGTGAACTTTCTTTCTTTTCTAGGCGTAACTCGTCACCCATTTCTGACCAAAATTCTGCTTCCTTTCCACCATTCTTACCGTTCCAATAAAATACCGGGCGAAGCCATTTATCACAAACTTCCGCGCCAAATTTTGAGTATGCCCACGCTGTTCGAACTACAAGTGCGTAGACTGGGTTTGTATTTGGTCCTCTATGCCAAATTAATGGATTCTGTACTGACCAGGTTGACTTTAAGCTTGAATGATCGCAAAGAGATGGAAGCTTTGCGGTTATAGAATGAAGATAAGCGCTCACTATGGAAGTTGGCATTAAAAAAGTGAATGAATAAGAATTGGTGGAAGAAGGTAATATCGTGTCTGGATAAGGTGGTGTCAGTTTGTAATCCATATCCTTGTCAAAACTAGTATCAATATAAGGATCGAAATTTGCATATGCTTGCAGCGTTTCGTGTAAAGTTGCTTTACGATTCATGTAACGTAAAAACAGGATATATGGTTCTAAATTGGCAGAAGATGACGGTTGTGCAGGTGCAGTTTGATTACTCGCTGAAATACATTCTCGTCGACGACGAAGACGAAATATAAGCGAGTCTGTTTGAATTTTACGCCAAACTTTAAATGGCTCGAATTGAAAAAATTCCACGAGATGGCATCTTTGCCACATCCAAGCTCTAAAAAAAATTAATTGATGAATTTTTGCGTTTTTTCATGTGCAAAAATGTGATTTCCCGTTTATTTACCTTAGTTTATCGGCAAATTCTAATCCCATCCATTGACTCGCTAAAATCAAAAAAAATTCATTAATTGATTATCAAATAAAGTATTTTGAATTGCAAGTTAGAAAACAATGAAAAATTCTAGACTCCCAATACTTACCACTAATCAAGCATACTTCGCCTTGTTCTTCTTTACATCTTTCCACGCAAAACCAAAAGAAATAAGCATATGCTTGCATTCCACCTTTTCCCAAGACTCTCTCGTCAAAAAGTTCACTATCAGGTTCAGATATGAAACCAGTCTTTCTTATCATATATGGAGGATTAGTGACAATGTAATCAAATTTAAGTTGTTCTGGAGAACGGAGTAATAATAAATTTTCATACTCCCATGTAAGAGATGGTTTTGGGAGATATAAATTCAATGTGTCATTACAAAAAAGATTTAACCTTCTCAATTTAATCGTGCCAAAAGGTGATAAGTGAAGAAATTGCTTGTAAATAGGCAACATATGAAGTAAAATGTTCAATTTTGACAAATGACACGCAAAAGCATCTATTTCTATACCCCAAAGATTCGAAGTGAGCGATTGAAGAAGGTGCGAAAGTGCTTCCGGATGTTTCCATACCGACGACAATTGATTAGCTGCAAAGGTAAGTCGATTGATATATTCACATAAAAACGAACCTATTCCCATACAAGGATCAAGCACGCGAGGAGCATGTGGTAAAAATCCAGGTTTATGTCGACTTGGATGCGGAGCAGAATCGAATGACTGCGGTGGTCCACGAAGTAATTTGTCCAAGAATGATTGATTTCGATGATCTCTATCTCTCGAGTGTAAGACTCGATTCCACATGAATTTCATAACTTCTCTGGGAGTGTAGAACTGGCCGTGGTCCTTTTGATGTTCTTTTGCAAATACATTTAAAAAATACTTGGTATAAAATATTGATAATATTGATTCAATCGCGTCGAGAGTTGTGAATCGAATCGCAATGGCGTGTAACCTTTGAGAAAGATCACACGGATAAACCAAAGAATCTTTTATCAATCTATAGTACCAGATGAATGCGTCCAATTCATCGTAATTGGGCGTAGTAGCGCTGAAAGTGATTGGTGAGGCTGGTATAAATCGATAAATAAGGAAATTGTCTTCATCTTGAAAAATTCTCATGAAGTCTGTCAATGTGTCCCCATTGGGCTGCTTGACTTCAAATAGAAAATCATTGACCACTACTTCAAAGAACATCTGAGCCACGGTCAAAAAGGCGGTCATTTGACAATAGAAGTTGAACACGTGTTTATAAAAATTTGTGTCAGGTGAAGAATGAATATTCGGTTGTAATCCGAATAGTTGTGATTTTAACTGTGATAGATTTTTGATATGTTGCGGTTTTACAGCTGATGGATTTGGAAGCGGTGTTTCATTCAAAAGTTTGTTGAACTCCTGAAGAAACGTTTGCGGAATTTTACGATCTATTAATCAATTAATGATCGATTAATATAATGCGTGTCTATCCCTTTTCCCGTTTACCCAATAGTGCATTAATTGATCCTCTTTTCCTTTTACCCGATCGCAAATTAATTGATCTCCTTTTTCCCGAACACGCATTAATTGATCTTCCCATCCCTTTTCTACTTTTCCCTCCTTTCCCCCTTTCACTTCCTTTTATGTAATAGAGAATAGCGATTCACTTACCATTTTCATTTGTATCAATTATTGTGCGCCAAACATGAACTTTAACTTCCTCCAATGCTTCGCCCAGCATTTCTATAATTTTTGCAACTTGTTCTTCGGATAGTTGTGGAGTGCAGCTAGTTGAGCATGCGGAATTACTTGAAATGGTCGAAGATGAAGGAATGGAAGCATGCCTTTCAGGGGATTGTAAAGGATCAACTTGAGAATAATTTTGACCCGGGTTGACAGATTTAAAGACCAAAGGAGTGACTAGTGAGTTATTATTATCGGGAGTCGTAGTAGTGGTAGAAGAAACCGGTTGTTTATGTTTGCTTTTATGAAGTTTACGGGACGGCTCGTGAACATCATCAACATAGCTGCGCTTAGTTTCTTTAAGCGGATCCACCTCTTCCTTGTTGAGAATATCCTTTAACCAATTGGGAGGTTTATTATTGTCGTTGTTGTTAGTGCTCTTGTTGTAGATTGTGTTGTTGTCACTGTTGTGATCGTTGGGATGAGTTGTGGTAGTTGGATTTGGGAAAGCTGGGACTCCAGCATGACTTGTTCGATTAAGCTTTATACTAGTTCTATTTTTTTGAGACGACACGGGGAAATGCGTGCCTTCTTTGACGCTACTCGGAGAGGTAACATGCGCCATGTTTATTTTTCTATTTGTGTAATATTATAGTTTGATTTTATTAGTGGTCCTTGTAAACACGAACGACGAAAAAAGGACGAAATTTCCAAAAGGTTTGAGTGTGGTTTAGATGAGGAAAGGGAAGAAAAGCCACAGCAGGGTGTGCATAATGCCACCTAAAAGGTACGTCTTCTGGTGGTTTCGCAAAGACAAACGGGACTTCTCTCACTCTTGCCTAACCCACAGCTACGAAAGGATAGTAGGCAGACACGAATGTGAGTGAAAAAATGTTTACCAAGATAGTACAAAGCAATGGCAGAGCAAATAGGAATAAACATAGTTATTTTATTTTTTATCAATTGAGCCTAATGACTGTCTCAGACTATTCCTAGACTTTTTGAGCCATTATCAAAGGGTAATTGAAAATAAATTATCACGTGATACTATTTATCGAAGGTCGTATTATGATATATTATTTTTTTATTATGTCATCGAGATTAATAAAATAAATATAGTATCGGTATATAATAACGTAATAAGATAAATAATCAAACAAGAATATATAAGAATATATAATAAAAAATTTTTGCTCTAAATAAGATTAGTAAAGATTTAAAAGATGATGCATAAAGATCTGCAGAATTCTGACCATAGAAAAAACAAGTCAACACTGGTTTATTAGGAATTTGGAGGGAAAAAGAGGCAGCTTACCGAGTTAGAGGTCCTTTGTAAACCAAAACATGAGAAACGATTGACTATTTGGAAAAATAATGCATTATAAGGAAAGGACAAAATTTTGAGTTAATTTGCTGAATTTTTTTCGCCGAATTTTAAATTTATTATTGTTCCTCGCATTAGATAAGATTTCGCAGATTTGAATTTTTTTTTCACAAAACAAAAATAAACCACGGAATACTTATCATATGAAAATTCGACGCGTTTTTTTTTTCTAAATGGTAATAATACTACTCGAATAAGTGAAATATTAATTAGGGGGTAATTTTAAGTTGCATTATTTGAATGTATGCATTATTCTCCTCTTTCTAAAATAACTAAAAAAACAAGTGTGCAAAAGACAAAT